TCTTTTTAACATTTTCATTGAGATGATGAAAACAGCTAAAGATCATAGACCTCCAGCCTTTCGGAAAATGAAGATAAACTCTTCACAAACCTATATTGTAGTGGTCTCCGTAGTAAAACTGTAATGCCGCCCTAGCCTCTTGCTCCTTGTATTCCTGTAAACAGAGTACACATTTCCGGAAGAATCAATACAAGGAAGGAAGTGCCCTAACCTGAATGTACAGCTGCTTGGGACTCTGGGGAAAACGTATTGCGATCATTAGATGAGCAATGGCCATCAAGCCACAAAACAAGGGAAGTAAACACCATAGGCTGTCGGAACCGGTAAGGCTTGGAAGACAGAGCGGCGTCAGAACAAGAACCATCAGCACTCCACCGGAGTTGACAACCATAGATGTGAACCCTTTAAAATGAAATATTGCTGTTTTTGAATGCTTAAGAATTATGTTTTCCCTCTTAACCTGCAGCAGTTCAAAAATAGTGGTCAGAGGCATATAAACGCCCTTATGCACATATAGAATATGGGAGAAAGACCTCGNAAGGGAAGTAAACACCATAGGCTGTCGGAACCGGTAAGGCTTGGAAGACAGAGCGGCGTCAGAACAAGAACCATCAGCACTCCACCGGAGTTGACAACCATAGACGTGAACCCTTCAAAACGAAATATTGCTGTTTTTGAATGCTTAAGATCTATGTTTTCCCTCTTAACCTGCAGCAGCACAAAAATAGTCGTCAGAGGCATATAAACGCCCTTATGCACATATAGAATATGGGAGAAAGACCTCGCTTGTCATCAGGACTGCACTCGGCAAGGTAGATGAGCAGCACAACCTTCAATGCCGCAACGATTCCAACTAAGAAGTGTCCAAACACATAGAATTCGAAGCGTGTCGTAACGAACGAAAGAATCATCGCTCCGGCGCTGGAGAGTCCCAGTAGACATCTAAATTTTTCGTCTGAGTGATGGCTTTACCATATTTAGGGCTTTACCATCACTGAATTAACAAAATCTTCTATTGCTGCTCAGTTGAGACAAAAACACAGACCATTACTGAGCTTTGCCGGTGACATTCACAAATGTACCTTCTAGGTAATATAACGATTACTGGTCCTGGTGTTTCTTTGTTTTTACTGAAGGTGTAAGGCAGCAGAAGGGTACATCAGTGTTTCAGCGCCCACATGGTTATCACATGCAATGTGCGAATCTTTCTCTCCCAAACAACCAGTGGTGAGGTACTATCGAAGACGCCTAATACCTTCGAGATACCTTCAATACCTTAAGAACCTCGACAAAATGTCAGGGAATGTTTAGAAAAACACTTCGTGAAAGGTAGGAATGAAAGGTCTCTCAAGGCAGGCGTGAAGGTCGAATGCCTTTTTCAGTGAATCATATTATCGTGCATATCATTCCAGTGAATCAGTAAATTATGGTATTTAACTTGACCTGGGACTCAATTCTAAGAGAAGGATAGTATAAATATTGAGTAGTCAGTAAAAGGAACAGACAGAAGGAAACAAACCTCAGTACTATCGCTGTTTCTTTCCTTCCAAATCGATCCATGAGATCGCCCATAATAAAGAACCCAATCACTAGTCCCAACATCATCGTCGATGCGCTGGCAGCATAGATCCATTCGAATCTGTGAATAGCATGAATCCTTTATAACGTCCTTTATATCTTTTGAAATCTTTTGTATATGTATCTTTCTGAATCTTTTATATAGCCTGACTTAAATGCTGATTATTGAAAAGAATCGGCAAAGTAGTTCCGTACCATAGGTGGGTGCAGTACGTGGGTACGAAGACGGAGCTACAGTGCGCGTGAGCTTTGTATTAATCGCACTTATTAGAGGCTGTGATGTGACACCTCTGTGCTCAAATACACCAAATGACATCGAGAAGTAATATGAGGAGGTAGGCATGTGCCAGTTTTCATTTGTTCGGAGGAATCCTCGAGAAGATGTTTCATTGCAATTTTAATGGGTAATAGAAGCGTGATCTAATCTTTTTCACCTCCTGAAGATTCAAAGGACACAAAGCACTTTCTATCGAAGAGAACTTTGATCATTTCACCATAGATAAGACAGTCTGTAAAAGTCTCTGGAAGCTTGGAATCTTCAAAATCTAAAAGCCCATCAAATAAAACCTTGGCTTGAAAGGTGATCGAAACTGATTATCACTTTAAGTGCAACATTTGAATGTATTTCTCGGACATGTTTTTTTCAAAGCCAAAGGTCGTAGACTCAATGATGATCAAGGGTTTCATTGATGCTACTTATCATTCATTCTCTCCTAGGAAATTCAATTATAAATGTGGAAGTTGTGGCGTATTTTTCGGGTCTGAAATACCAACAAATAATTCCGATGGTTTAGGCCCATCAGCAAAATCAAACTTTTCAAAGAATTATGCGCCAGAGATCAAGCGCCAAAGCACATGTTCGCAAACGGTCTGAAGAGAGAAGCGAAACATCATTGTTGCCTGTGATATCCACACTTCCGATGCCCCTTCATTGCATTTTCCATAGTGGCAAGCTACATATGGCACAAGGCCATTATGTCACGTACAATGTTAATACCCTGTACTGGAGTCTCTAGGTTCTCCTTTCTTGAAAAGTGCTCTACTAAAGATTTCACGATACTCGTGCTCTACCTCTTCGGTGACTTGTTTAAAAGACGCGGTTCTATGTGACAGCCCAAAATGGATTCCTGGAACGTTTTCCTCCCATTCTCGCACTCTTATCTGGATCAAGTGTATAGAGTCGCCGAAATGTGCTCTTCTCGCATATGAAATACATATTCTCTCCATCATTTTTTCAAACCGGTGTTGTTATCGTCCCAAACATGCGTGAAGAATGAGGTCATCGAACAAAGGTCAGAAAAAACGCCGTTCAGTCTTTATGCTTGAAAACTGCACTTAACTTTGCGCTGATACCATTAAAGACTGTGCATCCAAAGATTAATAATTAATAGTGAGTTAAAGGTCTAAGTCGATTTCCAGTTGGCAGTAATGATGGAGAAGCTGAGTAGCAGAAGAACCATGAGAAAAGACTATTCTGTACGAAAAATTGGGGTAGTAGCGGGGAAATTTTTCGAACCAAGTTAGGCTTTCCATAGACCTCGGTTAGACTTTCTGACTGTCAGTCATGTAGCTGAAGGATAGCTGAACGAAAACGTGGCTTTCTTTCAGCTACATGATTGACAACCAATAGCCCTTTTAGCGGTCCATTCCTTCGGCACTCTCGCTTGCACACTAGTGTTCTTCCTCTTCTTCAAAAGTGGGTCTAGCAGCTTCTCCTCGAACGGCGTGTCACGCTCGCCGCACGCGATCGCGCGCTATGAAGGGAAAGACTTGGATTCCTAGTAGAAGGATGAAAACTGTCGCCGCGGAACCACTGCCGCAGGCCGTTCGGGGAGAAGTTCCGTTACCCTCGATTAAGCGCGATATGGGAATGCGTATCTAACATTGTAATTTCTGATTTTTTTTTCTGGAAATCACGAAAAACCACTGAAATTCTTCCACAAGAAAATAAACTGGGAAAATTTTCGCGAGATCAATTTTAAATGTTGACAGCTTAGTATTAAGTCATCACGTTGCGCTAGAGAATAATTTTCGAGAAGATTTATTGAACATCAAACTTACTGTTGGTTTTCAACGGGACCGTAGTGCTCGGATATGCTCTGGTTGAACATCCTTCTAATAGGCACGTTCAGAAGATTCAAACAGGACATAAGAATGTCACCGAATTGGGACAAAAAGCCATGAACAAATGTTACGAATAATAGCCGACGACTCATTCCGCATAAGACCGAACAGGTTGACTGAAAAAACTGAGTTATCAGGAGACTCCCGCCATTGCACTTAACTGATAAGCAGCAGTTCCCGAAAAGTTAGTGAATTGAAAGGGCAGTGTCAAGAAAGGAAATAGAGATAAAGCTCCATGAAGTTATCGGTGGTACAGAAGCTGCTGATAAGGATATTTACCACAGTAAAAATCGAAAACACACTAAAGAATCACCCTCTACTATTACAATGTTGGCAGTTTACATCAAAACTAGTTCCTTGTGGAAGTTTGCACATAACTGTTCTGCTTCACTAAAGACTTTTCTGTAAAATTACGGAAAAAATGTGTGGAACGCCTCGAAAATATACCATAATTTGTTTATAATTAAAGAGTAATGATCGAGATCAGACGCAATACGATAACGAAAGCTGGAGCTCCCAAAACGAGCCTGTCACAATGGCTATAAAAGTGAGGCGGAGAGAGGAGGAACCACTGCACGTTACGTAATAGTCAGGTGAGTTTCCTACACCTTGTTTATGGGAATCATGGCTCCTCGAAACATTGACAGTGTCAACATATGTACATACATCGTTAAGTTCTCACGAGGTGCGCTCATGTTTATCATTGAAAGTTCAACACCGCTGCGATGAAGACCCATCACAACGTGCTGTGAACACCCTGAGTGCAGTGTCTGTCTTCCTATCAGGGTCGAGCACACGGGCTCAGAAGATTCTTCCTTATCAAAAGCTCAACTAGAATGCAAAGTTCTACATATTTCTAGTCTCTCGCAATGGGTCCCCGATGCTCGTGTAACTCTGCTTCCGATGCAATCCAACTCTGAAATCCTGAGTGGCTTCCTTACTCTTTCCTTCGAACAACAGCATCTATTTAGTTGAAGCAGATCGCCTAAGAATACAGTTCCTGGAAAACAGCTCTTTGTGTGAACAAGAATTTAGTCGAAGCTCTTTTGTGCTCGTCCGATCTAATGTTAGGAGTCTGGGGTCTCCCCAGCTACTTTTCTCCAGGTCATCTGCACTGAATGGAATAGACGGTCTCCTGAAGTTCGAAAAGATTTTCAGAAGTGCACTATTGACAAGACTAATATCAGCACGGATTATTGTAGATTTGAAGCGATGTAACTGCACCCTGAGAAAGATTTCCCACCAAAATGTAATTACGAGAGTCTGAGTTGGGTGGAGAGGGGGGTAGGAGGTGCAGTAGGAGGGGGAGGGCATAACAGGTTAGTATAACAAGGAATCAACTCGCTGCTACATATTATTTGCCGTGTTAGACTGTTCAGAGATGACGAAGAGGATGGCCACCGGACATCTATGCACCTTTTATGCGGTTTCATGGGGTATTTACCCGAGCCTTAGGAGGGAGGAGCGCCGGAGTGTGTAAGATTATTAGCTCGTGCAAAGAGCTTGACTGAGAAAGAGACACATGCAGTTAAATCGGTGCTTCATCTCTCCTGAAGCACATTAAAAACCTACAATCCCGAATCATTTAGTAATTCGTCATGTTCTACTTGATTCAATACACAGACTTAAAAAAACCACATGAGGTAAACAGCAGTACGCCTAGTGATGCTCTGGCGTAGCAATCTTTTCAGACACCGTACATTTGGACGTGAAAGGGAAAGCGTAATCTTCTGATGCGAGGGTTTTGCTCTGACATTTTGATTCACCATAAACATTTGGTGCTAACTTCGCCGTGAATCATTTGTATAAAAGAATTGTTCACCCACCCAGACATATTGCGCATTTTCTTGATTTTCAAGAAAAACCACTGAAATACAGGAGATTCTGAATTCCCATGGGGGCTGCACATGGGGGCTGCATAAGTTTCCACTTTCTAGTCATCGTGATATCATTGCCTATCCATGCCACAATAAGGGTTTCGTATCGAGCAGCTTCAACACGGCCTTTCGACGATACAGAATGTGGCGACCACGGCAGGATTCAAACCCGCAATCACCTGTTCTGCGTAGAAAGCTTTGCTAGCATCAGCATCAGAGGAACCCTGGGTATGTTGACGATGACCTCATCAACGCCTGACTAATTGGTAAGTGTTAACAACCCGTTAATCGTAATATTGTTCTTTCAAACAATTATTACGCGGGAGAACTTTTGTCTGAGGTAAGCAAACCAGCCAGTTTGGCCCTTCTGCTGGATGCATCTGCTTATTCTGCGGTCCTGTTTAGGGGTCTCATAATTCCACTCAGGGAAAGTACGTGAGGAGTCGCTTCTAAATCCCAGGTGGAAGTTCTTTATGTGGTGTAGATAGGGCTGCCGTGCAACTGTGACAGTATTGCGTGCTTAACAGTTCATTCATATATTCCCGCAATGCCTTCCACAGATTAACAAGGAAGTATCTGTCAAGGCGGAGGTGGTGTAGCGGCAAGTGGCGCCCTATCTCACAAGTACGATCAGGGGTTCAAAATCCGGATCGATACCCGCCCAGGCCAACCAAGCCTTCCATCCCTCCGGGGTCGGTGAATTGGTACTAGACTCGTCTGGGAGGATAAAAGCACTGTCTTGTACATCGGCTGACCACTGCAAGTCACTGTATAGGTCACATACGCACTCATCCACTACGATTCTGAATGGAAGTCGAATGCATCCCTCAGACGAGATTGATTAACGCCAAAAACTTTATCCTTTTTGTCCTTATCCCCACCTACTTACTCTGAGTGGGATTATGAGACCCTTAAACAGAACCGCAGAATAAGCAAATGCATCCAGCAGAAGGATCAAACGAGTTGGTTTGCTTATTTCCTTTTGTCTCGACCATAACATCACTGCCAGAAAGTTTCCAGGATTATCGTCTGCTGGATTATCATGGGGATCAGGATCACCATCGTATGCTCCTTCACCTTTTCAGCATTATGCGACTTTACGAAGAGAATAGGAGTTTTTAGCTACTCGACAACAGCTTTTCATGGTGGAAGAACTCAGCTTGAGCGTTCAAGTCTACATAGACCATAGCGATTTCGCTTGGGTAAACAACAAAGGATGAATCCGGACCGGCTATGAGAATATCAGAGAACACCGATTTTGAGAAACACATGAATATCGAAACAATGTGAAGTATTCTGCGCGTATGACAATCTCTCACCATTTTCATCAGCAGAGGCCACTGTTGATCATGAAAGCATGGGAAACCATCACAAAGGTTTTATATGGACACCTATGTATCTGAGAATAAAACGAAAATGGTCAATGTTCCATTATCGAAACCGATACATATGCAATGCTCGCAATTCGGACTTCTTTTTACAAGCATTATTAGAACATTACTACAAATGGTGGGAGCATATATTGCAACCTACTGTGAGTTCCTGAAGAAAACACGTCGCGAGAAGTACTTTTTCCCAACTTGTTCTTCATGTACGACTATGATCGTCGTCTGAAATTCTGGCACGAGAATCGCTCATCCGTCAAGCAAAGTAAAATGTATAGCTCATGTGTGAATCAATACATTGCTCCTGTGTTGGGAATTGATCTACATAACCACTGATGGACTTACAGTCAAACATTACATACCATGCTAGTAATCCCAACATTTGCTGTCGTAGTTCTTGTGTCTACTAGCCGAACTGATCTTCAAAGCGGCTTGTTTCCCTACACACACACTCCACTACTTCATGAAGCAGCTATGGAAATTGCGCAGACTATCAACTTGAAGTGTAACATCAACCGACGACGACAACAGCACATGACTCGAAACAATTCACCACTCGTGTAATCACGGGTCAGACTCCAAATTCGGCTCAGCAGTGAATGTTCGCAATTAACATTGCTCCATAGCACTGCTCGATATACATTTCAAGTGTCAAAAACGCATCGAATCTTTCACACAGAAACACGAAGCTACCTCTGAGTTGAGGTAACCGTTGCTACTCGCTCGGGAGCTGTTTGAAAAATACCCTAAAACTCCATAGATAAGAGCGGTCCGACTTACCGGTGAAAAATGAATTAGAATGAAATTGAAATTGAATGCAGTCACCCTCTAACTTGATGGATGGATAAATAAACATCGGAGAAGAAGTTAAGAAGAAGCTCCACCCCTTCAACTCTAAACCCCGCCCACTTAATAAAAATTCATATAGAAAAATAGCGATCCGTTAAAATCGCTATTTTTCTATATGAATTGTTCATTAAGTGGGCGGGGTTTAGAGTTGAGGGGCGGAGCTTCTTCTTAACTTCTCCTCCGATGTTTATTTATCCATCCATCAAGTTAAAGGGTGACTGCATTCAATTTCAATTTCATTCTAATTCATTTTTCACCGGTAACTCGAACCGCTCTTATCTATGGAATTTCAGGGTAAGTGCGGCAATACCGAGGTTATGGATAAATTGGAAGAGTTCTCCTCTACAACCGACAATAATCCTTCACTGATTGCACCCTTGCATGTACATGTTTGTCCTGTTATATGCTCTTTTTCAACAGCTGCCTTTTTTACAGAATCTAAGCTAAATCAACCACTTTGTCAGTACATACCCTTTTTATGGATCTACCAAGGATTTCACGGCAGCTGCTCATATCTCTATGAATCAAATAGTTAGCACAACTTCAACACCATTGTCGTTGATTCCAGGTCAAACAAACCTATAGAACAACCTGTGTTTCACCATTAATGGCACGACCGCAGCTCAGTAACCAATACACAGTTCTACTGAAGAGAAAAAATGGAAAATGAAGACAGTGTCGCAATAATGAAATCTGCTTAAAGGGGGTAACTAGCAACTCATACCGCAAGCCAACTTCAGTGTGCGACCCTAAGAATTGCTAAAGATCGCGAACGAATCGTGCAAATTTTCCCTAGATTCCAGAAACTATCGTACAGCTGCCTTACTGGAAATATGGGAACCCTGATGAAACTCGATCTTCTACATTAAACGAGGAAAAATTTCCTGGCGAAAATAGACAGTTTTCCGCAAAACTCAATGACGGTTTCGTTCTTCAATTTCATATGGTGATGGAAAGTCTTAGGATTATGACGCACCAACA